GCTTGTTAACTTGAAAATCAGTTGTACTCCCCTTACGTTTCAATATATTGAGACATTCAGTCATTCAAATGTTCATTAAGTACATACTGAGTGTCAAGAATTATTCTAGGTGTTGCAATATTTCATGTTTCAATGTTTCAACCATATTAATATGTTGATACCTTTTTTGCTTTGTGAAACTTTTATATGCTCTTTTAAATTATCAAACCTTTTTAACAAATATTAACAACTTCCTCCCAAGTGTGGTTACTATATTTTATAAAAGAGACACCTATTTTTACTTAAAATTACATAAATATTTTATTTTTGGAAGTGAATGAATAAAATCAACTGTTGTTCTCCACCTCCTCCCCTCCCTGAAACATTTGGTTTTGGACAACCAAGATTAAGGTAATACCAACCCACGAGAGTTCGTCTTTTAAAAAACAAGTAATCATGGAGAAAAACCTTCTATCAAAATGGATTGAGGCGTAGTCCAGTCCCTAGAGGTGAGAATGGATTCACCTTTGCCCACATCAAAGCATCATTCAATGAGATAGCTGATTTTCCATCTTCAAGGAAAAATACAGGACCCTGCACACAGTGAGCATTGGGGAAAGAGAAGGTGAGATTATAAATCTGCAACATAATTTTAAATTTCCAGAAACAGAATCACACTAATAAAACATCACTGGTGATATTTAGACAATCCTAAGTGGAAATTAAAATATGAGAAAAATTATTTTTTTCGAACTATTGCCAAATACAGTATCATTTTCAAATATCCTAACATTATGTCATTATGCCCTGATATCTTTCAAAACAGAATTTAGTTTCATAATCCGAATTTCTAAAATATAGCAGTGCTACTAACGAGAACAGTCATTGTTAATCTATTGTTATGAAGTAAATTTAGAAAAGCATATTGCCTAGTTATAGACTAAAATATACTTCACTATTACAGGTCAGTAGTTCAAATCCACCAGCCGCTCCTTGGAAACCCTATGGGTCTATAGGGTTGCTATGAGTCAGGATTGACTCAACAGCACATAGCAATAACAACAGATGTGAATACAGCTGGAGGAATAATTTAAGCCAGAAAACTTTGTATCCACTCTCCAGAAGATGAAGTGTGTGTGTATGTGTGTGTGTATATATTCAACCATAGGATTTACTAGCATATTTATAATTTAGTTAAACATCAATTATTATGTATGTCAGGGTAGTTCTGAAGAACTGTTTCATAAAGCCTTTCAACCTGTATTACCCAGCTCTTAAAAA